TACATATACTAGAGGATATACTAAGGGCATGTGTGATTGAGTTTAAAAGATCATGGGAAGGGTATTTGCCTTCAGCGGAATTTACTTATAATAATAGTTATCAATCAGTATTAAGATGACCCTGTATAAAACTTTGTGTGGGAGGAAGTGTAGAACACTATTAAATTATTCTGAACTAAAAGATCGAGATCCAGTTGGGCTGGATTTGATGAAAGAAATGGAGGAAAAAGTGAAAATTATCCAGAGCAATCTAAAGATAGTCTCCGATCTCTATAAGTCTTATGTCGATTTGAAAAGAAAGGAAATTGGATTTCAAGTGGGGGAGAAAGTATTTCTGAAGGTATCACCTTGGAAGAAGATATTACGTTTTGGGAGAAAAGGAAAGCTGAGTCCGAGATTCATTGGACCTTATGAGATCTTAAAAAGGGTCGGACCAGTAGCTTATCAGTTAGCTTTGCCTCCGGATATGGACAAGATCCACAATTGTTTTTACGTATCGATGCTTAGGAGTTACAGATCAGATCCACCCCATATTATCACTCCTGAAGAAATAAAGATCTGATCATTTTTAACTTATGAGGAGGAACCAATGTGGATCTTGGCTAAGGAAACCAATTAATCAAGTAACAAAAGGATTTCGTTGGTTAAAGCACTTTGGTAGAATCATAAGGTAGAAGAAGCTACTTAAGAAATAGATGAGGACATGAGGAAGCAGTTTCCACACCTCTTCATTTCATGTACTTCTTTAAATTCGATGACAAATTTTCTTAAGGGGGAGAATCGTAATGCCCCAAATATTAAATTAGGGACTTTATTGAAAATATTTAAAATTTGAGGATTTATATGACTAAATGATAAAAGATGAGAAATTATTTAGATTAGTGGTTTAGACTAAAGTGTAACAATGGATAAGTAAAAAGGCATTTCGGTCTTTTATAGGAGAATGAATTTAAAATTCATTTTCTTTAGTGAGTATTAAAGTAAAGAAAATAGGAATTTAAGTGAACCAAAAGCTATCTCTCTTTTCTTCTCCTTTCCCGTGAAAAAAGCCCTCAACCAGAGCAAAGGTAAAGTTCTATTTGGTTAGTTTCTTCTTTCGTTTTGGCTGGTTTTAATGTATGGAGTATGATAGAAGCTTAAGGAATGATTAAATGGGATCAAAACTAAGAGATGGATGAGATATTTAAGATTGAAGAAAATGGGTTTTTGAGTGTTATGTTAGAATATGAGTTTTTAATGATGTTTGTTAGTATATTTGACTTGTCAAATATGTAAATAAAAGATTAGAAGCATTGCATGGGTTTAAAATCAAGTTAGAAAAAGTGGTGTGATTCTTATATTTGAATGTTTTTGGGAGATTTTAGATGTTTTAAGAATCTAAATAAAGGAAAGTTAATAGGGATAAGTAAGGGAGAGTTTAATAGTATTGTGGGTGTAAACATAAGAAACTTTGACCAAATTTGGGTAATAATCGGGCTGAAAAAATGAAAATCTGGGTAAGGGTATCGGTACTGATAGAACAATATCGATACTATAGGCTTAAAATTAAGGAATCAGCTGATAAGTATCGATATTGATGCAAGCAGTATTGATACTATGAGGAAGATATCAATATCATTGTTAACAGAATGCAAAAATGGTATCGATACTTAATAGAGTATCGGTACCATAGTATAGCAGTATCGATACCATGGTATGGGTATCGATACTATGGATCCAGAAACTTTAAGATAGGCTGATATTGTTATGGAAAATTTAATAATATGTACTCTTGAGTATTTTTAAGTATAATTGTTAGGAAATATACTAACAATTGATATTGTATATATCTTTAATGGATGTTTGAGTATATTGAAATCAAGCTCTCGAGTCAAGCAGGCAAAGGCAAAGTACCTGAGTAATCAGCTTTGCGTTTGTATACAATAGCGAGGCAATCCAGGTGAGTGCATTTAATTGTGTAACTATATGTTATACTAGTTATAGATATATGTTTGCTTAATATATGTGTGTGGTAATTACCAAAGAGGCACTAAGTGTACAATTCATGGAATTCATCATATGTTGATGAATAACTATTTGGCACTAAGTGTGCAATTCATGGAATTCATCATATGTTGATGAATAACCATTTCGGCACTAAGTGTACAATTCACGGAATTCATCATATGTTGATGAATAATCGTTTCGACACTAAGTGTGCAATTCACGGAATTCATCATATGTTGATGAATAATCGTTTCGGCACTAAGTGTGCAATTCACGGAATTCATCATATGTTGATGAATAACTGTTTCGGTACTAAGTGTGCAATTCAAGGAATTCATCATATGTTGATGAATAACTATTTCGGCACTATGTGTACAAACCACGAAATTCATAATATGTCTATGAATGATCATATGTGCACTACGGGTACATTGCAAAGAAATGATAATAACTTGAAAATAATGAATTGGTATTTGATCGATATGAAATAATGATATAATGATTTCATTGTACGATTAGTTTTGCTTCACTAAGTAATACTTAACGTGTGTTTATTTCTCGCGTAGGTTTTAATACAAACTAAGTAAGGAGATCATCGGACATCAAAGCAAGTGTCGCCTCGTTAGTAACAGTATAACATTTATGTCTACTTTTAATGTATTTTAGTTGGCATGTAATAGATTTAGTAAAATCGCTCTGAAAAGCATTGTATTTAATATGATGTAAAACAGTTAAGTATTTGTACATATCGTTTTGTTTATCTATTTTTGTTATGCATGTTTTATTATTAGTAAATTAAAATGTTTAAAAAAAGAAACAAAATTTTTTGAGTTTTCAAATGAGAAATTGCTTTTAAAATTGTTGTGACATTTGTATCTCATGTACAGAAAGGTATACGGGAGATGGGTGTTACAGAGTTGATTTACCAAACGGGAAGCACCAGATCTAGTCGACCATCGATCAAGGGAATCATGAGTACCTTTATGAAAATATAATTTTAGATTAATTCTATAATTAAATCCCAAATAAATAAGTAAAAATGCTAAGAATACTAAGCATTTTCGATTTAACAGGTTTGATTTGGGGTTTGGATTAGAATTTGACTAAACATACCTCAAAATCGGACTCAAAACGTTGAAAAATGTTAAGAGGGAGATTTTCAAAAAAAAGTCAACGCTGGTCACTGACATTGGTTAATGGTCAATGGTCAACGATGGTAAATTGTCAACGGTTAACGGTCGGCTTGGCTTCAGTTTGGCTAGATCAGTTTGGTTTGATTTAGTTGGGCCAGTTCAATTCGGTTTAAACGTTTAGTAATAGGTTGGTTCAGATTTTAGGTTAGATGGTCAGACGAGTTAGCGGATCGAATAGGTCAATGAGTCGGATGGATCAGCGGGTCAGGTCAACTCGATTCAAAAAGATTTGCCAGGCATTGAACAAACCCCAAGCACGGTGGCGGCACATACGGTAGTTTTGGTCGTCAAAAAAGTTACAAAAATTTTCTAAAAATTAATTTAAAGGGTCTTAAGACACTTACCAAACTCGGTTCACATTGTTGAATAGCAGAGAGCTTGATAACGACTCACCAAAAACTTTTTAATGCTTACCCCTCCACACGCCAACAACAGAGGCTACAAAATGGGTATCGGTGTAGTCAAGATGATGTAAGAATCACAATGGCATGGGCGTTGTAGCAAATGGAACTACGATTGGTGGCAAAATGGAATATTAAAGTTTCCTTAAAGCAGAAGATTAAAAATAGGAAGATAGAGAAAAAGAAAGGTTTGGGGTTTTTAAAAGAAGAGTGTTATAGACTTTTGGGATTTTAAACTAAAATTTAAGGAAAATAGAAAAATCATGCCATTGGTTATTGGGCTTTTGGGGTTTCTTGATTTGAATATGAAATTAACTAAAAAATTATTTTAGTTCTCTAATTTAACTAGAATTCAAATTTAATACAAAAATAACTTTAGGAAAAAATTTATCCCCTAAATTAGGTTGTGACAACTCCCCTTTGAAAGAAAGTGTATCATCGAAATTTATCTAGTTTGAACAGATGTGAAAATTAATCTTTCATCAACTCTAATGTCTTCCAAGTAGCTTTTGCAGGACTGTGGTTGCTCTACTGAACCTTAACCATCAGAATTTATCTTTTCCGAAGAACTCTCTCGTCTTGGTCTAAAATCTGAATAGTTTTCTCCCCATAAAACAAACCAGGCCTCAAATTCATCTCATCAACCTGAATGGTGTGACTCAGATCGAAATGGTATTGCCTCAACATAGAAATATGGAAAACATCGTGAATACGACTAAGCTAGGGAGGCAACTCAAGCTAATAAACCACAGGTCTGACTATCTTCAGAATACGATACGATCTAATAAATCTTGGACACATTTACGTCCAAATCTCAGCACTTTCTTCCACGGGGATACTTTCAGAAGAAAAAAAAATTGATCCCTAACCTTAAACTCGGTATCCTTCATCCTTTGATCAACATAAGATTTTTTTCTATCAAATGTTTTTCTCAGGCAATCATGGATCAGTCTGATAATATTCTCAGTCTCTTGAACCAGCTCGAGTCCCAAAATCCTCCTATCACACAACTCAGTCCAACAGATAGGATTATGACATTTACGTTCATATAGAGCCTCATACGGTGACATGCAGATGTTATTCTGATAGTTGTTATTGTGAGCAAAAAACTCCTCCCAACTACCACGGAAGTTAGTCACACAACCATGTAGCATATCCTCTAGAACTTGTATCACTCTCTTGGACTGACCATCAGTCTACGGGTGGGAAGTTGTACTAAAATTTAGACGAGTACCCAGAGCCTCGTGCAAAACCTTCTAGAATCTAGAAGTGAATCTCGAATCTCAATCAGAAATGATAGACAACTGAACACCATAAAGTCAAATGATCTCAAAGATATACAACCTAGCCAGTTCTCCAAAGAATAATTAACTCGCACCAGAATAAAGTGAGTTGACTAGGCGAGTTGATCAACCATCACTTAGACATAATCCTTTTTAGAAGGAGTCAGAGGTAACCTAGTCTCAAAATCCATTGTAATGCACTCCCATTTCCACTATGGAATCATAATAGATTACAAAAGACTAGACAAGTATTGAGGCTATACCTTGACCTGCTGACAAATCAGATACCTTACAACATAATTGAAAATATCCTTGTCATACCAACCCAATAATAACGCTCCTTGAGATTCTTGTACATCTTACCCGCACGAGGATGCATAGCATATGGAATACCATAGGCCTCCTGAAGAATAGTTTGTCTCAACTCACTATCTTTAGGAATACAGTAACGACTATGGAAACACATAATACCATCCTGATCAAAATATAATCCGAAATCGATACCTACTGGACCTGCTCAATATTGGAAAACAAAGACCTATCCAAGAGCTAAGGTTAGCTTAACATACAACTTTGTCAACAAACTGCCATATCATACAAGCTCAACCTAGGAAACAAGATCCTCAAATCAGATTCTGCCTTACAGCTTAAGGCATCAGCCACCACATTGGCCTTGCCCGGATAATACTCGATCTCACAATCATAGTCCTTCAGAAGCTCGAACCAGCGACACAGCCTCAGATTTAGCTCATTCTGAGTAAGTGTATACTTCAAACTCTTATGTAAAGATATAACATTTGTCTCCATAGAGATAGTTTCTCCAGATCTTTCGAGCAAAACCCATAATAACTAATTTCATATCGCGGGTGGGGTAGTTGCTGTAACACCCCAATTTATGGGCTAAATTTAAGAAATTATAAAGTGGTAAATTTAATTGGTATTTTTGGAAGAAACGGTGGATTAAATTGTAAAATTTTAAAGTTGGCAGACCATTTTAAGAAGTGCAGGAAGTTCAGTGACTAAACTCATAATTTAACCATTTTTATTTTGGAGAGAATTATAAATCTCTCCCCCCGTATGTTCAGCAGAATATTTTCCTAGTTTTCCCTCTCCAACAACCCTTCTCTCAACTCCGATCTACTCGCCGTTCGACCTCTGATCGATGAACCGAAACCACCATCGTGTTCGTTGTCAAACGAGGAATAAAACCCCTCAAACATTTCGTTGTGCATCGTCGTCGTTCGTCATTAATTTCAGTCGGAAGTATCGTCGGTAATAACTCGATTTCAATTAGTTTTTCGTCGATTCACGATGATCCGATGATCCGTTTATGACACCTCCCGCACCATCGTGTTCCATGTGTCGTTTCGAGTCTACCGGTGTCATCCTTGGTCTCCAACGACAGCAGCGCATGAGGAGGTAAAGCGGTCAAAGTTTCTGATTTGTTGAAATCGAGCTCTCCGTCGTTCAAAAATTTGAATCGAGCTTTATAAGTACCTCGAAATCACTCAAAATAATTTTTAGAAATTTTTTCGCGATTTGTAGGCTGCTGAAAGACATCCCACGCGCTGCCACTACGCGTGGGGAAGGGAAAAATGACCGGTTTTGGAACTGTTTTAACCGGTTTGACCGGTTCCAACCCGACCTGACCCGTTTACCCGACTCGACCAGTTGACCCGACCCGACCCGTTGACCGTTTACCCTTGATCGGTGTTGACCAAAGTTGACCAAAACTTTGACGGGCTTTGACCGGGCATTAAACGACCTTTGACTTTGACCGAGTATACCTATCCTGACATTTTTGGACATTCCAAATCCGATTCCGCAGTCCGTTTTTTTAAATTCAGACCCGAATGCCTCTTAATTGCCAGTCAAACCCGTTGACTTTGATTTTGACCGAAAATTCCAAATTTTCGAAAAGTCATATTTTATGCTTTCAACGTCCTGAATCTGAAGTCTGTTTTTCCAAATTCGAAACTGGTAAGTTGGTTTTAACTGATTTATCATCCGACTCGATCCGTTTATCTTAATTAAGCTTCGTTTCTGATATAATTTTTGTTGATATGGATCCGAGGAAATATTGGAAGATGATTTCAATATCGATGGTATTCGAATGGAATTTAATAGTCGATCAGTATTGCACGAAAATCGAGGTAATATTTTACTACCTCTTTATGCTTCATGGAACATATTGATATTGGTAAATGCATGAATAGGATAATGTTGATCACTTTTGTGGAGTTGAATAATTTATACACTCGATATGAATGTGGTAGAAATTCTGTAACTAAATAAAGATCGAATGTCTAATAGAAGAGATTGAGGAATTGTTAGAATTAAATTACAAGTTTGTGATTAGTGATAAAGAAATCAGCCATGGATTTGTAACTTATATTTTATATCATCCAAGGTTAAATGTTAAAGGTACTTGAATGGGAAATTATGAGAATACTCTGGTAGGGTAAAATTACGAAAATACCCTTATATTGTAGGATGACAAGAATTATCCCTGAAAGTTGGTTAATAACTCTGAAAAGATATATTGATCCGATAGAATTATAGATGTGCATAAGAAATGATAGTTTTGTTTAAAAAATTTTGATAACTGGTTTTTAACGCCAAAAAGGGTCTACGCAAGAGGCTAGAAGTTTGTTAAGGAATAATTTCAAGATCAGAGAATGTTCGGGAAAGTAATTGACCATAGGATCTTTAAATTATAATTATTTTCGTTAAGAGGTAATATCAAAATTATCTGGTTAAGAAATTACGAAAATGCCCTTGAGAGGTAAAATAGTTCGAGTTGACCCTGAATGAGAAAGTACTTTGAAGATTTGTACTTAACTCGATCAAATACGGATTTGATTGTAAAGATCCTGACTTAGTGTAGAAAATTTCCTGATATTCAGTTGGTAAAAATATGAAAAGGCACTTGACCCGAAAATATTCGGGTTATGAGTAAATACCTAAAGACCAATTTATCTCAAAATTGTTTGAAGACACTGAAATAGATGATAAATTGGAATTAAATAATAAGACCGAATGGAAGGAAAAGATTGAAATACCGTAAATCTATAAAATGACCAAAATACCCCTGTAATGGAAATGACTGAAGAATATCACCAAGCTTAGGAATAATTGAATATCCTCGAGCTCTGAAATGAATGGAATAAAACTTAACATCAAAATTACCAAAATACCCTTATGACCTATATTAAGTAAATGTCTTGGATTAATTAAGGAATCCAAATAAGCATAGGTGTTGGACTACCTTTAGAATTTATGGAATAACTTAAGTGAATTGATCAACCGTAATGAGATGTCAGTACCTGAACGATATAGGTATCAGTTGAAGGTGTGTTCGTCTTCTCAAGTGTGGTTCGATGATAATTTTGAAAGTACTCAGCTCAGCTCAACTCTAGATCGCATTCGGTAATAAGAAATGGATATTCGTTAGACAAATCAACCACAAAGACCAAATTGAATTGAACAGAAGTACAATATGTATCTGAAATTCAGAAACGTTTGGATTACCCTGGAGAACTTAGAAGTAACTGGAATGGACTTGACTAATAAATGAATTAAGTAACCTCAAGGACTATGGATTAAGTAATTGATTTGGATGAGTCTGGAAACGTTAATGAACATACATGATGTAATGTTCTTATGGATCATAAACTACAAATCAAGCACGTCAGCATTTCATGATATATGGATAGCGTGAAAATGAAATAAAGACATTAGAAGAGCTATTCAGTGATGATTCCAAAGATGATCTATTGATAAGAATTTTTGGTATTAAAGTGTAAATACCCTGGAAGGATAATGAATTGACCAGTCGATAAGTATTAGTTCTGGGAACTATTCATCTAAGAGTTGTTCGATAATCCGATCAATCGACACAGATTGTAAATGTCCTGAACCTTCAATTCTTCCTTATCAGCTCAAGTCTCATTCTGAATAACTAATGATTCCGTCAGTTATTGAACTTTTCCAATAGTGATTCTAAATTATGACATTTTATCGGTATACTGAATATCCGTGTTTCTCTGCCTGCTAAGATTATCCAGTACCTCTGAATAATATCTGTAAACTTTGGTGTGTTCCCTAATCATATAAAATTTTTATCTGATTTCCGACTTGAATTTTGTTCTGATACATGACCTGAATTTTGTTATGATTTCTGATATGGATTCTGTTCTGATATATGTTCTGAATTCTGTTTTGATTTATGATATCTCCGTTTATGGACGGAAAATGTTTTAATTGGGGGTATTGTTGAAGGAAGTATTTATGCAGGTTACTCGGCATTGTTCTCAGGGCCTTACAGGTTGTGTGGGTTGGGTGTATGGTTCTGGGGAACCTACACAAACAGATTGTGAAAGGATGGGGGTATATATATATATGTTTTAAAAGATCTGTATCTTTTTACTGGTTTTACGGGAACACACTAGAAAACCTATTTTGATCTTTTGAACTTATTCATCCGAAGTATTTATCTGAACTGAAAGCTCATTGTCCGTTACCATCTGAAATATCAGTAGGATCTCCGCTCTGCATGAAAATCCATAGGTGTTCGAAACCAATAAGAAAATATATGTTTATCTATATCTGCACGTTCTTCAGCATCATCTGGTAGTTCTGTATTACTGAGCTTTCCAAACCTCACTCTGTTACTCATCTTTTCAGGCTAAAAGAATTGTACCAGTGCATCTATCGACTTCAGTAAGGAAGTTCTTTCGGCATTGTTTATAGAGTATGGTACATGTGATTAGGGGGCATGTAATTGTATTTTGTTTTATATACGAGTCTGAAAATCTATTTTATTTCGAATATTGATAACTTTTATTTTGTACTCATAAATGATTTTATGAGTTTACAAGTTTTAAGAAAAGTTTTAAATTTTCTGCTATTTTTATAGTGGGTCGCTCCGGTGGCCCTAATGTGACACTCCATATCGGATCAAGTTAACTGCATCGGTCTGAGGGGGTTACAGTTACGCTCATGTGGCTTTAACTGATGAGATGCATAAGCTACAACCTCCCAATCCTGCATCAGAACACATCCTAGTCTAGAGTGAGAAACATCACTATAAAATGAAAAATCCAGGCTCAATCAATATTGGGGCTTCAGTCATAACAGTCTTCTGTTTCTCAAAACTATAATATTAAGGTTTGGACCAGACAAATGAAACGTCATTCCTTAATAGCCTCGTTAGAGGAGCTGCAATGATAATCTCCTCTTTACTCGGATCCACCCGAATACCCAAAGACCAGTTAAGTGTCTTTTTTGTTAGAATATGCACAAAGACCAATCATGAGATGGTTGTAATGAAATATTTATTTTATCATGTTTATTAAATAAGTCATTACCATTATTATTTTCAATCATATTTTTTGTGTATTTAAATAAATTATGGAATAATAAAAGTCCATATGATGATATAATTATTCTTAAAAAGTCCTTGGCCAAATATTATTGCAGGCATGGACAATAATAATACATTTGAGGTTAATATATGGTTGATAAATGACAAAGTGTTACCACTAACATAGAGATATAAGAAATCAATACATCAGTATGTGTTAGAGAACAACATTTGAGGCTATTTATTCACAGTATTGCTCATGGGATAACTTCATATATGATCTTATAACTTGAGGTAGTCATTATGTCAACATTTATTGTCACATATTTTGATACATTTAAATGTGTGTAGTAATTGGTTACACCATAAAGACTGATATTGGACATACCACAATTTTATGTAGTCAGATATGCTTTATCAATAAATGATTTATCCCTCATAC